TTTTGGACTGTTGTGTTTTCAGTTTGTTTCCATGGATTTTTAAATTTTCTTCTTTAATTTCCTGGTTGACCCATTCATTCTTTGGTAGGATGTTCTTTAGCCTCCATGTATTTGTGGTCTTTCCAATTTTTTTCTTGTGGTTGACTCCACGTTTCATAGTGTTGTGTTCATAAAACATGCATGGTATGATCTCAGTCTTTTTGTAATTGTTGAGGCCTGATATGTGACCTGCTCTGGAGAATGTTGTATGTACACTCAAAAGGAATGCGTATTCTGCTACTTTAGGATGAAATGTTCTGAATATATCTGTTAAGTCCATCTGGTCCAGTGTGTCCTTCAAAGCTATTGTTTACTTGTTGATTTTCTGCTTAGATGATCTGTCCATTTCTGTAAGTGGGGTGTTAAAGTCCCCTACTATTATTGTATTATTATCGATGAGTTCCTTTATGTTATTAATTGTTTTATACATTTAGGTACTCCCAAGTTGAGGGCATAAATATTTACAATTATTAGATCTTCTCATTGGGTATTCCCCTTTATTATGATATAGTGCCCTTCTTTATCTCTTGTTACAGTCTTTGGTTTAAAATCTAGTTTGTCTGATTTAGGTATTGCTACTCTGGCTTTCTTTTGATGTTGTTAGCATGATAAATGTTTCTCCATCCCCTTACTTTCAATCTGCAGGTCTCTTTACATCTAAAATTAGTCTCTTGTAGGCAGCATATGGGGTTTTGTTTTTTTATCCATTCTGACACCCTGTCTTTGATTGGAGCCTTTAGTCCCCTTAAGTTCAGCATAATAATTGATAGATATGTATTTAATGCCATTTTATTACTTGTTTTATCATTATTTCTGGAGATTTTTCTCTGTTCCTTTCTAGTCTTTGTTATATAGGGTTTGTTTTTTTACCACTGAATAAGTCCTCTTTAATATTTCTTGCAGGGCTCGTTTAGTGGTCATGAACTCCTTTAGTTTTTGTTTGTCTGGCAAATTCTTTCTCTCTCCTATTTTGAATTATAGCCTTGCTGCATAGAGTATTCTGGGCGGCAGATTTTTCCCATTCAGCACATTGAATATATCCTGCCACTGTCTTCTGGCTTCCCAAGTTTCTGTGGAGAGGTCAGCTGCTACCCTTATTTGTCTTCCCTTGTAAGTTAGGGACTTCCTTTGTCTTGCTGCTTTCAGGATTTTTTATCATTGTATTTTACAAACTTAAATACAATATGTCTTGTTGTTAGCCTACTTTTGTTGGGAGTTCTCTGTACCTCCTGGATTTGGATATCTGTTTCCTTACCCAGCTTAGGGAAGTTTTCAGCTATTATTTCTTCACATAAATTCTCTGCCCCTTTTTCTGCCTCTTCTTCTGGGACTCGTATGATATGAATGTTATTATGTTTGATGGAGTCACTGAGTTCCCTAAGTCTACTTTCATGATCCATCATTCTTTCTCTATTTTGTACAGCTTCATTATTTTAAATAATTTTATCTTCTAGGTCAATTATTCATTCCTCGGTTTCTTCCATTTTTGTGGTCATTACATCCACTTGGTTTCAGATCTCACGTATAGCATTTTTTATTTCAGTCTGACTGGTTTCTAGCTCTTTTTTTTTTTAAGATTTTATTTATTTATTTGAGAGAGAGAATGAGACAGAGAGAGAGAGCATGAGGGGGGAGGAGGGTCAGAGGGAGAAGCAGACTCCCTGCTGAGCAGGGAGCCTGATGCGGGACTCAATCCCGGGACTCCAGGATCATGACCTGAGCCGACGGCAGTCACTTAACCAACTGAGCCACCCAGGCGCCCTAGCTCTTATATCTGTGGTGTCTCCCTGATGTCTTCCATGCTTTTCCCAAGCCCAGCTAGTATCCTTATGATTGTTGTTTTAAATTCAGCATCAAGCATATTACTTATATCTGTTTCAATTAGATCCCTGGCCATGACCTTTTCTTGTTCTTTCTTTTGGGATGAATTCCTCTGTATTGGTATTTTGTCTAGGTGTCTGTCTTCTTCTGTGTATTAGGAAGCCTGTTATGTTTCCTGCTTCTGAGAGTAATGGTTTTATGAAGAGGTCATATAATGTTGAGGGCCTAGTGCTTCAGGAATTGTCTCTGGTATGTGCCATGTGCACTCACTGTTGTGTTTTGGCTGCTCTGTCCCTCAGTTCAGTCATCTACAGAGGCCTCCTTGCCTGCAGTGGGGCAGTTTGGACCTTAGCCAGCGTTGGGTGAGATTTAACTAGGTGTGCTCTGGTCTGCTTGTTAAATGAGACCTGATGCTATTTCCACTAGACCTGAAGCTTTGCACAAACTATTGTCAGTAGGCAGTGTGTGTGTGTGTGTGTGTGTGTGTGTGTGTGTGTGTGTTGGGGGGTGTATGCTGGCCTTCTGGGGAAGGGGCCTGCTGTGCTGGTCCTTAGGCACACTTGCCTGAGAAAAGCAGTACCTGCAGAGTGCAGGGAAGCAGGACTTGGTATAAGCAGATTAAATCAGTGTTGGTGCTGTGCTGTTTACTGAAGTTGGTTTATGCTAAGGGGCAGGGTAGGGAAATGGCACCAGCCAGCTCCTTTGTCCCCTGAGAGGGGAGTCCATGCTTGCTGCTCTCAGGGAAGCCCTCCAAGAAGAGTGAACAATTTCCCCTCATGTATCCTAGGTGTTTTTCAGATTGCCATTCTCAAACTGTGTCCATGTTAATTGTCTGCCTGGAGTAGTGCAATGTACTTTGGGCTCTACACCAGCCAAGCTGTCTGATTTTTTTAAAACTCCAGACTTCAGGGACCTGGTGTGGTGGGGACCTGTGCTGGTCCTCTGGGAAAGGATCTCACTGTGCTGGGATTGATGCTGGTTTGATCCTGAAAGGCTGTCACACCAGTGTGGGATTATGAGCAAGCAGGCTAAACAGCCAGTGTCCAGCTTAGCTGCCCTCAGCAAGTGTCTCTGCTCCTATACTAAGAGGCAGGAGAGGGAAATGGCACCTGCAGCCTCTTTTGTCCCCTGAGAGGCAACTCTGCGAATGTCTTCTCTCACAGATGCACTTCAAAAAGAGTGAACAGTCTCTCCCTGTGCCTGTTAGATGATCTTCAGATCGTGCTGTCTACCCTGGGATTTTTTGCATGCCTTCAGTGCAGGAGTAGGGCAGCACTCTTAGGGCTCTATCCCAGTCAAGCCTGCCAACTTCTTTAAGTCCAGTCTTTGAGCTACACTGGTTGCAAAAACTCATGAAAATCAGCCCCTCTCATTTTCCAAGCCAATGGCGTTGGGGAAGTGTTCTCCTTGTGCATTCCCACGTGTTCCTGTCTCACTTTTCTTTGCAACCATGGCTCCCTTACCTTTGTAGCACCTGTGATCCGTCTCCCCCAGACTACATCTCCGCACCTCCTACCTTCCTCAGGGTGGCCTCTTTTCTCCCTGTACTTGTGCAGTTGCTTCTCTCAGCCTGCAGGTCGATTTCTTGAGTACTCAGGATGATTTGATACTATCTAGCTGTGCTCTATGGATGAGGCAGGACTGGAATCCTCCTACTATGTTGTCATCTAAGCTCCCTGCCTCAATTCCTATCAGTTTAAAGAATTTTCTTAGTATTTTCTTATATTGTGCTTCTCCTGGGGAAAAAAATTATCGGGTTTTGTTATCTGGAAATGTGTTCATTTTGCCTTCACTTTAAAAAGTAGCTTTTGGGATATAGGTTCTTTATTGGGAGTTGCTCGTTCTCTCAGCACTCCGAATACATTACCCCATTACCTCTGACTTCTGCTATCTCTGCTGAGAATTAGCTCTTGTCTTATTGTGGTTCCCTTCTAGTTGACAGGTTTTTCTCTTGCTGCTTTCATGATTTCTCCTCATCTCTGGCTTCCACAGTTTTCATTATGATGTATCTGTTCGGGGGTCTCTTTGTGGTTTTATTCTTTGGAGTCCATTGAGCATCTGGATGTGTAGCTGATTTTCAATAAATTTAGGATGTTTTTAGTCATTATTTCTTGAGTATTTGTTCTGTTCCTTCCTCTCCCATTCCTCATTCTCGTACTGCCAGCACATGTGTGTTGGTACACTAAACGGTACCCTACATTTCTTCTATCTTCATTTTTATTCTCTCTGTTCTTCAGATTGCATAACCAGCCTGTCTTCACGTTCACTAGTTCTATATCTTGGCAGTTTCAATCTACTGATAGCCCCCATAGTGAATTACTTTATGACTCAGGGAGTTGATGGTGCTCTGTGTCAGGGGTCTCCAAGACCAACCTCAGGTATGAAGACTCACTACAAGGGCTCACAGAAATATTTATTCCACAGAAGGACTTAGTTCAGAAAAGCTCTTACACACAGTGCTCCAGCTGACTATGGGGAAAAGGTCTGTATTGAAATTAGTGAATAGAAAAGGAACAGAAAGCAGAATCCAGGAGAAACCAGGATCAAGCTCCAAGTCATCCCCTCTCAATGCAGTTGTACATTCAGAGCTTAATGTGTGACAACTTTTATGAAATATTTCTAGCCAGGGGAGCTCACCCAGGTCTTTTTATTGAGGGTTAGTCATGGGCACTCCTGTGTGACTGGTCTTAGCTTCTCAGCATCCAGCTTCTCTAGAAGTCTGATACAGTATGTCACAGGGTCCAAGGCCCCACCTATATACACAGACACTCTTATCAGTCCATGTATTCTGAGGGCTTGCAGATTTCCTCCCAGGAGTTGGTCAAGGGCTAGTCCTAAAGAATATTCAGGGTTTGGACAATTAAGATCTGTTACCCTTTTACTGCATACTTTCCAACAGAAGTATTTATTTAATGTGCATAGCATATCTCTCTGGGTCCAGCTGATAGAAAGGAGTAAGACGAGAGTCGTCATGGTAAATATAGCGTTAAGGTTGACTCCTTAGTGGTGCAGGTAAGCCTATTAGAGTCAGAGCACATATTGTGAGACCAGAGGATCTGATTTGAACTTCCTATGAATTGAGTTTAGGTCCCCAGTGCTTTCAACTCACCCTTCCTCCTGCACACATTCATATGTTTCAGGACTCGGTGGTCTTTGAGGATGTGGCTGTGGACTTCACCCTGGAGGAGTGGGCTTTGCTGGATTCTATGCAGAAGAACCTCTACAGAGATGTGATGCTAGAAACTTTCCAGAACCTGGTCTCAGTGGGTAAGGATGGCTTCAGGCCTTCACTTAGTCATCTAATAAACAAGTATCTCTTGTCAGTGCTTTTCCACAATTTGAAATGTGGAAAAGAAATACACTGGTAAGTAAGACAGACATTGTCACAGCCATCACGGACCTACAATCTAATAATGTCTCCATGACAGTGGAAATGTGTCCCTTAAACTGAGGTTTTATTTTTGTCTTGGTTCAAAGACTAGAAACTCCTTTGGCTTCATTAGTGGGGGATTGGCTTCATGTGTTGTTCTGGTTCAGAGAGAGGTTTCTTGGAAAACTTTTGATAGTCGTTAGTAAATTGCCTACCATTTTGACCCTACCATTTTGACCCCTCCTGCCTGCCATCCATGAAGTCCTGAAAGCACTAAAGTCCTCAAAGTCGTTCTTTACTCATAAGTTCCTTCTTCCTTTAATATGTTCATTCACCTTTTTGTTTGTTTCAGATTATGAAACACTGCTTAAAGCCAGTGGGTTGGTTTCTCAACAGGATATGCATGAGGAAAAAAAATCTAATGAACAGAAAATGGCAAAATTCACAAGAAATCGTTCTTGTGCCTACATTTTAGAAAAAAATTGCGAAGACCATAGCATTGAAGATCAGCATGGAAACCATGCAAGACATCTGAGGTGAGTTGTGTTCACAAGATAAAGAAGTACTAATCCCAGGACAGAGTTTTGGTAGGTCATGAAATTTAAAAAACTAAAAACACAGCTCCAAATCTATTTGAGAGAGAGAGGACAAGTGGGTTGGGGTGCGGGGGGGAGGTAGAGAGGGAGAGGACTAAGCAGACTCCCTGCTGAGCAGGGAGCATGACACAGGGCTTGATCCCAGGACACTGAGATCATGACCTGAGCTGAAGGCAGACAGTTAACTGACTGAGCCACCCAGGTGCCCCCAAATCTATTTAGAATTCTAAGAAAGTTTTTTTTTTTAATTCTTATGTTAATCCCCATACATTACATCATTAATTTTAGATGAAGTGTTCCATGATTCATTGTTTGTGCATAACACCCAGTGCTCCATGCAGAATGTGCCCTCCTCAATACCCACCACCAGGCTAACCCATCCTCCCACCCCCCTCCCTCTAAGAAAGTTTTTAAAATCTTGATTGAGACATTGAGTGTTTAAGCATAATTCAGTTAGACACTTTTAGGAAGTCCCCATACATGATAAACAGTATGAACAGTGAACATGATAGAGGTCACTTCTAGGGCATTAGTTAACTCTAAGACAATCCACAGAGAGTAGAAAAACTTCCTGTCTACTAAAATGCAGTTAGTCATCTGGCTCTAATACTTATTAGTTGCTAATAATAAATCATTAATAAACATAACATTGATAAAGTGTTTCTGACTTTTAACAGAAATCCTGTGACAGGCAGATTCTGTGAAGGTAATGAAAAAAATCAGCACAGAGAAATGTGCAGCCAGTTTCCCCATTTTAATTTCTGCAAGAATGTTTCTACTGGAGTAAAACTCTATGAATGTACCAAGTGTGGAAAAGGCTTCATGCATCTTTCTTCCCTTAAGAGGCACGTCAGATCTCACACTGGACAAAAACCATATCCGTGTCAAGAATGCAAGCAGGCTTGCGTTTGTCATGCACACCTAAGAACTCACGCTGGAGAGAAGCCCTATGGATGTAAATTATGTGGGAAAACCTTTCCTTATTTCTACTCCCTCACTGAACATATCAGGATTCACACTCCAGAGAAAAACTGAATGCAAGCAATGTGGGAAAACCTTCCACGAGTTCTCCAGTCTTACTAGACACATGAAAACTCACACTGTGGAAAAGCCATATAAGTGTAAGGAACGTGGGAAAGCCTTCATTTATCCCTCAATCTTTCAAAGACACACGGTAACACACACTGGGGAGAAGCCCTATGAATGTAAGTTATGTGGAAAAGCCTTTCACCATTCTTACTCCCTTACTCAACATATGAAGATTCACACGTCAGAGAAAACCTACGAATGCAAGCAATGTGGGAAAACCTTCCACGAGTTCTCCAGTTTTACTGGGCATGTGCGTACTCACACTGGAGAAAAGCCATACAAGTGTAAGGAATGTGGGAAAGTCTTTATTTATCCCTCAGTCTTTCAAAGGCACATGATAACACACACTGGAGAGAAGCCCTATACATGCAAACAGTGTGGGAAAACCTTCAGTTATCCCCAGTCTTTCCAAAGACATGAAAAGGCTCACACTGGAGAAAAGCCGTATGAATGTAAGGAATGTGGGAAAGCCTTCAGTTGGCCTGAAACCTTCCGAGGACATGTGAGGATGCACACTGGGGAGAAGCTGTATAATTGTGAGCACTGTGGGAAAGCTTTCAGTTCCCCCAAGTCCTTCCAGGGGCATGTGAGGACCCACACTGGAGAGAAACCTTATGAGTGTAAACAGTGTGGAAGAGCCTTCAGTTGGCCCTCAACCTTTCGAGAACATGTGAGAATTCACACTGAAGAGAAACTGTATAAATGTGAGAATTGTGGGAGAGCCTTCACTTCTTCCAGATCCTTTCAAGGCCACATGCGCACCCACACTGGAGAGAAGCCTTATGCATGTGCACGATGTGGGAAAGCCTTTAGTTGGTCCTCGTCCTTACAAAAGCATGTGAGGTTGCACACTGGAGAGAAACCCCATAAATGCAAGCAATGTGGGAAAGCCTTCAAGTGGCCTTCATCCTTTCGAAACCATGTGAGAATGCACACTGGGTAGCAGCTCCAGAAATGCATGTAATATTTGAGTTAGGTCATGCTTTCTAGGGAGAAATTCCATAATTGTAAGTAATGTTGGAAAATCTTACACTAATTCATGTATCATATTCCAGGAAGGAAATATAGAAGTTATAAATATGGCACTGTTTGTCACTACCTCATTTAAAAATGGACCCCTAAATAGTGAATTTCCAGTTCTTTCACAAATAAGTGTTCATATGAGAAATAATTCTCTAAGTCTTTCAGGTAGAGTGCAGGAGTTTAAAAAGTGGGGTGTTTTGGGGTTTTTTTTCCTATTTTTTCAGTTAATACCATTTTCTTTCTTGGTAGTTTATTTGAGCCATAGTAATTTGAAGTGTGCTTTTAATGTGACAGAAAGTTTAACTCTTACATAGTGTGTTGTAGTGTAAGTGCTTGACATCGAGCTTCAGATTTTAATGTAGGGGCCTGACCGTAGTCATTTGACTGCTGGGGCATCTACCTGAAAGACCTCTGTCTGGAATAAACATTGTTGGCTATAGAATACGGCTGCCAGCAGAACAGCTAGATACAGAACCAGGCCACCCTCCACCAATGAAGTTCCTAATAAATAATAAACCTGCAAAACCCTAGGCAGCCCACCTTTGTCCCCAACATACATAGAACACCAGGTCTGCATTCTCTACTCACAGCCTTGCTGTGTGGCCCCAGGCGTACTGTGTACTTCCCAGGACTTGGGAGTAATAAACCTTGTTCTTCTGAGTTCCATGATGGCTCTTGCTAAGGTGCGTCTTACAATAAGAACCACAGGGAACAGTCCAGTCACAACATTGGGTCTGGATGGGGTCAGGTCTGTGGGGCCTCACCACAAGCAGTGTGGCCCAGGTGAGCACACCTAGGCTTTCCTAGCTGATGGGATCACCACTGACCCGCTGAGATGAACAAAACAGTAGTCTTTCTGTATCATTAGAATAACAGGACTTGGGTCATTTTGCAGTTTTCTTACTGTTCTAGAAGGGCACATAGTGGATATCACCTATATATTTCTTTCTTCTTACTGAAATACTCGTTTAATGTAAAAAATTGTAAGTATGCAAAACTCTACAAAGAGTGATCTTTATCTCCTGCAGTTTGCTCTTTTCCTTGCTTCTGCATGTGACTTGGACAGCAAGCTTTGAATTAAGAATAGAGACTATGACATAATGAAACATATAGAGAGATGGTTATACCAGATTTCATTATGGAAATGTGGGTAAGGCTGGGAATTCAACTTTCCTAAATGTCTTTCCTGTATACTTCCAGGTTAACATTCATTAGTTGACAAATTTTCATGAGACATAGAAAGCAGAATGGACACTGCCTTCTAGACCATTACACTAATTCCTGCCCCTTTTAATCAAGAGTCCCCTCAAAACAGACAGCAAGCACTTGACTTTCATTCTCTCAAACCTAACCTGTCATTATCTCCATGTCCTCCACCGACATGGATACTAAAAAATGTTTTTTTTTTTACTTTTCACTCGGGATATATTAAAATATCCCATTGCAATTACAGAGCGTGAAACCAATGTTATAATTTTGCCAATTTAGGCACCATTCATATAGTCAGTGTTAACAGGTTTGTATGGATTCATGTATTTTTCTTTCTGGTTTTTTAATGTACTTAAAACTTCCGACATTAACATGATTTCATATTCATTCATGATAGTAAAAACTTATTTTGTCAATGTAATCTAGCCAAAGACCACCAGGACCATGCCTGCAGTCAAGGGGAGTGGGTAGGTTATGCTACTGCAGCGGGACACTCACTCACCAGGAAGGTTTGCAGGATGCATCAGAGTGTTTTAAGAGACTGACCAGTTTGGGGTTTCTGTGATTTGGAGGAGCACTGAGTGATGTGAGGTTTGCTCTGGATTGGCTACTTAGGTCTGGTTGGTAATCTTCATAGTTCTTATTTGGAAGAGACAAAATTGAGTGGAACAGCGTCGCCTGAGTGGCTCAGTTGGTTAAGCAGCTGCCTTCAGCTCAGGTTATGATCCCAGGATCCTGGGATCAAGTCCCGCATTGGGTTCTCTGCTCAGTGGGGAGCCTGCTTCTCCCTCTCCCTCTGCTGCTGCTCCCTCTGCTTGCGCACTCTCTCTCTCTGACAAATAAATAAAATCTTTTTTTAAAAAAAGGAAAAAAAATAGACAAACTTGGCTTCATGAAAATTTAAAATTCTGTGCATCAAAAGACAGTATCAACACAGTAAAATGTCAACTCACAGAATGGGAGAAAATACCTGCAAATCCACATACTTGATGATATTAATATCCAGAATAAGAATATATACAGAATGTCTAAAATGCAACAACCCCAAAAAACCAAGCCTGATTCAAAATTAATAAATGACTTCAATAGACATTCTCTAAAGAATATATATGAGGAATTTGAGAAACAAGACAGAGGATTTTAGGGGAAGGGAGGGAAAAATGAAACAAGATGAAACTGGAGGGGGAGACAAACCATGAGACTCTTAATCTCAGGAAACAAACTGAGGGTTGCTGGAGTGGAGCGGGGTAGGAAGGATGGGGTGGCTGGGTGATGGACATTGGGGAGGGTATGTACTATGGTGAGTGCTGTGAATTGTGTAAGACTGATGAATCACAGACCTGTACCCCTGAAACAAGTAATACATTATATGTTAATGTTAAAAAGAATATATGTACATGTACAATAAGCACATTAAAAAATACATGACATCATTAATCATTAGGGAAATGCAAATCAAAACTACAATCTGATACCACCTCAAACACAATGGGATGGCTTCTTATTTTTTTATTCTTATGTTAATCCCCATACATTACATCATTAGTTTTAGATGTAGTGTTCCATGATTCATTGTTTGTGCATGGTGCTCCATGCAGAACGTGCCCTCCTCAATATCCATCACCAGGCTAACCCATCCTCCCACCCCCCTCCCCTCTAGAACCCTCAGTTTGTTTTTCAGAGTCCATCGTCTCTCATGGTTCGTCTACCCCTCCAATTTCCCCTGCTTCATTCTTCCCCTCCTGCTACCTCCTTCTTCTTCTTCTTTTTTTTCCTTAACATATATTGCATTATTTGGTTCAGAGGTACAGATCTGAGATTCAACAGTCTTGCACAATTCACAGTGCTTACCAGAGCACATACCCTCCCCAGTGTCTATCACCCAGTCACCCCATCCCTCCCACCCCACCCCCCACTCCAGCAACCCTCAGTTTGTTTCCTGTGATTAAGAATTCCTCATATCAGTGAGGTCATATGATACATGTCTTTCTCTGTTTGACTTATTTCACTCAACATAATACCCTCCAGTTCCATCCACGTTGTTGCAAATGGCAAGATCTCATTCCTTTTGATGGCTGCATAATATTCCAACACAATGGGATGGCTTCTAACAACAAAACAAAGCAAACCAGAAAACAAGTGTTGATGAGGATGTGGAGAAATAGGAACACTTGTGCACTGTCGATAAAATGGTAAAGCCGCTGTTCAAAATACTATGGTAGTTCCTCAAAAATTTAAAAAAGAATTACCATTTGATCCAGCAATTCCACTTCTGGGTATATACCCAACAGAATTAAGAGCAGAGTCTTGAAGAGATACTGGTACACCTGTTTGTATCAGCATTATCCACAATGCCTAAAATGTGTAAGCAACTCACATGTCCACTAATGGATGAATAGATAAGCCAAATGGAGTACATACATACAATGGAATATTTTTCAGCCTTAAAAAGTAAGGAAATTTTCATGTGTAATGAGACAGATGGATCTTGAGAATATTATCCTAAGTGAAATAAACCAATTAGAAAGAGGCAAATACCATATGATTCCATGTGTATGAGGGACTAAGAGTTGTCACACTTATACAGACAGTAAAATGGTGGGAGCCAGGGTCTGGGGGGAGGGGAGGGAGGGGAGTCAGCGTTTAGTGGAAACAGTTTCAGTTTTACAAGATGAAGAGTTCTGGAGATGGATGGTGGTGATTGTTGCACAACAGTGTGAATGTATTTAATACTTCTGAACTTTACACTTAAAAATAATATGATCATTTTATGTGTATTTTACTGTAAAAACTGGGGGAAAGTAGGCTGACGGGCATAATAAAACTGTACATACCCATGACCTGCTTTTACCACATTTCTATCAGGTTTTATGTCCAGTTCACCCCACTGATTTTTCACCAGATAATTTTGAAGAAACTCCCAGATACTACTATTTAATCCATGAATATTCCGGAATGTAACTTTTTAGCATAACCCAAAGGCCATTATCACACCTAAAAATAAAGTTTTCCCTTAATACATTCCAATGAACATGTATAGCAATTTCGCTAATCATCTCCATAAGTACATAAGATCTATACATACCAATTTATTGAAATTTCTTTTATCTGATAAGGGTCTAGAATTCAGAATAAAAAAGCTTTCAATTCAACACGCCAACCCTGTTCAAAAATGTTCAATCCATTTGGTCATTTATGAAATGCAAATCAAAACCACAATGAGATATCACTTCATACCAACCATGATGGCTACTGTTTAATAAGAAATGAAAAATAGGTTTCAGCAAAGATGTAGAGAAACAGGAACCCTTATACACTGCTGGTTGGAATGTAAACGGTGCAGCCACTGTGGAAAAATGTAGTGGTTTCTCAGAGTTAATCACAGAGTTACCATATGACCCAGAAATTCCACTCCTGGGTGTGTACCTTTGTGAAAATAAAAGGAAACCTCCTTTAGCATAAAGCTGGGAGCAGCAGGGGCGCTCACACCCTACCATCTCTCAATGGTAGACCAAATGGGGATACAGGGACCTTGAGTGCAGACACTTTACCCCCAGCTGGAGTGAGACAATTTTCCTCCACCCTAGCAACAGCTCAGCCAATGAGAAACCACTACACTGGAACTCCATTTACTCCCATGGACTTTATCTTAGAATAGCCCCTCCCAACTTCTCTGCACTTGCATATGGTTTGCCGTACCTGGCTTGTCCCTAATTGCAATTCCCTGCTATTTCCAAATAAACCCACTGTTTTGCTGGTAAAATAGCTAGCACTTGTATTTTTTAAGGTTCCATTATTTGGTGATCAGAAGTGGGACCCAGAAGACCCCTAATGACTCCGAGGCTGGTGAGCAAACAGGTACCAGAACTCACAGAGCCGAGAAGGCTCAATGCTTTCTCACCCACAGGAGAGGTTGACAGTAAGTTTTCTTCTGGATTTTGAGCTCTGCTCTCCTTGTGTCTGACCTCTCCAGGCTTTCTTCAGGATCCTCAGGTTTTACCGCCTTGTCCTTTCTTGGAGTACTTGTAGCAGATGGAGGTTGGTAACAACGTGATTTGTTGCTCGGAGATCCTAGACAAACTACCCAATTGGGTTTTGCCACAGGTAAAATAAGGGTATTACAGGGACTAGTGCAAAGGATAATGAGCCCTGAGCCTTAGATGGTTTGATGCCTTGAAGAGCTGTTTTATTTATGGGGTACTGATTAATTCTGGGAAGAACTATTTTTTAAGACATTTATTTGAGAGAGAAGCACGGAGTGGGAGGGGCAGAGGGAAAGGGAGAGAGACTCTAAAGACGACTGTGCTGAGCGCAGAGCCAGACCTGGGGCTCCATCTCACAACCCTGAGATCACGACCTGAGCCAAAACCAAAAGTCAGTCACCTAACCGATTGTGCCACCCAAGTGCCCCTTCTAGGGAGAACTTTTGAGGGGTCTATTTGAATCTTGATGGGAGGCGCACCATGGATTCCGTCAGTATCCGTTGAAGATTTTGCCCAGAAAGGATGGTGGCTGATCTCATAAGAACAAATGATCAGTGTCCCCAGACTGTAATAGTGTGTCAGATATGGAGCAAATAAAGGACGTTGAAGCATCATTTAACCCCCCTTGTTGGTGACTGTGATTACTACTGTCAAATTCTAGAATTATTCCCCCTCTGAGAGAAAGAAATCCCAGCGTGATACTTTTCTAAGCAATGTCAGGTGCATAGGAATAGAGAACTAAGGAGAAGGGAGTGAAAGAGCATAGGGAAGGGGCAGAGAGGGAGAAGGAGATTCCCCGCTGAGCAGGGAGCCCAATGCAGGGCTGGATCTCAGGATCCTGGGATCATAACCTGAGTCAAAGGCAGATGCTTAACCAACTGAGCCACCCAGGTGCCCCGAAGAACTTAATAGTTCTTATCTAGAGAGCAGGAAAAATGCAGTGCAGCTGAAACTCGGAGAGGCACCAGGCACATCAGCTAGAGGCAGGGAATATTTGCTGATTTTTACAGATTGGACTTCATTTTTTAGCCTCCTTACTGACATGACCGCGACACGGTCTTCATGTGCCCTGACTCACCACAGACAAGGAAGTGCCTCGCCGGAGGACAGGTGGGTGATATTGTTTCTGCTCAGTGAGAGAAAGCCACAGCCCAGTAGTGAGCTCCAGGCCAGCTTCCACCGTCTGAGGCTATGTTTGCGTTCTCATTTACTATGTGAACACTGACATCTTGCTTACTCACATCCGGCACTGCATTAAATGTTCTCCATAAAGGAACTCAGCATGGATAAACCCAGTTGCTCCTCAGCAAACTCTATAAGGTAGATAATGTTTTTATCTCCTTGCATGAGCTACCTGAGGCCTACAGATGCAGGTGATTTTCCAAAGGCCACAGAGCAAGAAAGGAACCAAGTCAGGATCATGATTCAAATTGAGCCTTTCTTTCCCAGACTCTATATTCAGTGTCAGGTGCTAAATATTGAGCCTCCCTCGCTCCCTCGTGTGCCACACACTCAGCTCAAAGCAAACGATGACACTCCACATTGATCTAGACACTGCAGGCACTTGCCCACGCCCTCATGCTCATTGCTTCCCACCCTCCCACTCCTGCTTGCTCCCCAGGTGTTCCCCAACATCACCCCTTCTTTACAAGCACTGACTGTCCTTCTAGGACCTGAGTACAATCCACTGTCTCCCTGGACCTTCCTGTGTCCCTTGTTTGGCCACATACGACTGGCCAACCACTAAAGGACACAGAACAGGTGCAGATTCGGAGCCTACAAACAAGCATCAAGTGGGCACCCCTGCAAAACTTCGCTCTCAGGTTCTGAAGAGAACTGGAAACAAAAGAACCATAAAATCACAGGGAAAATGATCTCTGGGTACATGGAAGGGTTAACAATTTGTAAAATATTTGAAATTGGATTTCATGGTTCTGCTATGAGAAAGAGAGTTCCATGGAAAATGTCACATATGGACTGTTTCCCACTGGTGGTGACATTGAAATGTGCTTGTGATGCACACCTTCCATGCTGTTTCAGTTCAGTGCACCTATATTAACCCTTACTAGTGTGTGGGATCCACACGATCACTGGTCGTATTGGTGAACTGAGGACAGTAGAGAGCAAATCCCATTCCACAGTGGTTGGAATAATTAGACAGAAGCACTCCTCTCTGCAAAAACTGTACAGGTATCCTTATTGTGCATTCACACTACCACATTCCTTCCCCAAGTCCCAGTGGGCCTGCTCACCTTACAAACCCTCTCAGACATGGAGCCCAACCAGCTCCACCCAAAATACAACCATACTTGCACCAGGCCCAGGGCCAGAGGAGCATCCCTGGGGGCCATCTGATGGAGATAGAAACTGACCTGTGTCAACTGGGGGCAGATCAACAGAAGCGTGAGTGGTCGGAAGGAAAGAGAAAGGCACGGCCCATCTTTCCTCCACTGGAATTAATACAAGGAGACACCACTGGGTGAAGCATGACCAACCCCTTACCCATCCATCACAGCAAGAAACGTCCTGTTCAGCACAATTCAGCACAATCCCCAGCAAGAAGGAATGAGGAGGAAGGACATGTTTCCATTCTGGTATGGACTTTCATGTAAATGTCTCAGAGCTATTTGGACAATAAACATTGAGAAGCAGCATTCCCAATTTCCTCAGGGCAGTTATGCCTGGAGCACCGAGTTGTAAGTCATTCCCACAACTAAGACTCACCTCACCACAAATGTGGTTTGTTTCGTTGTTGACAAATAGGGAAGATACATGTGTCTGGCTCCCTCTCCCACACTCTTGAGCTGCAAGACCATGACTCCTGGTGTTCTTTGTCAGAGACCACTACATAGGCAACATTAAGGGTTTCACCATTGGGAGTAATTTCTTTAAAAAGACTTATTTGAGAGAGAGAGAAAGAGAGCATGAGGTGGGGAGGAGCAGAGGGAGAGGAAGAAATTTTAGCAGACTCCATGCTCAGCATGAAGCCCAACTCAGGGCTTGATCCTACGACCCTGAGATCACAACCCTAGCTGAAACCAAGAATTGGAACTGAACCGACTGCACCACCCAGTTGCCCCAGGAGTAAGTCATTTTAATGAGACAGTGGTAGCAGCTGCATGGGTATTGAAGAAACACCGATCAGAAGGAAAATGTCAAATGTTTATGTACTTAGTCCTATTAACCCAGAATAAGTATTTCCAAAAAACTGACACAACTAGAAGAAAGTTAATCCTCTAGAATGGGATATTTTAAAAGAACTCAGTTGTGAGGGGCAACTGGGCTGCTGAGTCAGTTAAGCATCTGCCTTCAGCTCAGGTCATGATCTCAGGGTCCTGGAATTGAGCCCTGCATCAGGCTCCCTGCTTAGTGGGGAGTCTGCTTCTCCCCCTTCCAGTCATCCTGCTCATGCTCACTTTCTCACTCAAAATCTTTAAAACAAATAATAAAAGAACTAAGTTGTGAAACATAAAACATAAAAGAACTAAGTTGTGAAACATAAAACATAATATCATTTGCAGGTATGCAAACAGATTTGAAAACCTCAGTAATGTGGTTTCCATGAAGCAATGTAGAGAACCACATTTGACAAAACAAACAAAACCATTGTTTTGAATCACATATTAAAAATAAAAAACCACTGGGAAATCACATTTAACAGAAAGGAATTACATTTAACAACAGAAAGTAATTAAGCATACTGGATTTATCTCTTAGATAGCAGTCAGCTATAGGGGAAAATTCCCACAAACTGCCATACACTCACAAGTGCTTATTCCAATTATGGAAACATCCAGAAGGAAGAAATACAGGGTCAGTGCAACCAGGGAAGCAGTTTTCCTGCATTTGAGGCTGTAGCATTAAATCTGTCAGAGGGGGAGGCAGGACACAGATCTATCCTGAGAGAGACAAGATGCTTAGCACAGAAATCATGTATTAGGAAAAGCATGGGAGATCCCTACACACGATAGCCTGAAGAGGTGGCCTCATGGACACAAAGAGCCACAGGGCAAAGCAAGGAACTGTATGGACCTGAAAACCAAGACCATCCGTCACAGGAGAGGTTGTGGAAAAGTCTCTGGAGTATGCTACTTAACAAAAACTAACGTCAAACTTGTGCTAGGTTGGGGGCCATTCCAAACGACAGATCAGAAGTCAGGAAAATGTGCTGTGACCCAGGCCAACATGGGTCCCCTGGCATCTGTCTCCTGCTGGAAAATCATGGCTTCTTCACGCAGTTTCTTTCCTCAGGGCCTTCATTTCAGAACCGCACAGAGAAGGACTCTGAGACATATGGTCTCCTGCCTCACCATGCTCACAAAGAAATCCAGTAGAACCAGTCAGATGCTAGCTTTCATCTTCACACCACAAGGTTTCTCTTCTTAACACGTCATGACTGATGAACAACCAAGAGGAAGGGCGATCAGCAGAGGTCAAAATATGAACATAATCGGAGGAGACTGTCCTCTCTCAACATCCCTGCACATTTACTAATTTCTGTGTGGAGCACAGGTGTGGTATACAGCAGCAACAAGCAAATGTGAAGATACATCACTCAATCATAAAGACTGGAAGGAAGGGTAGATACCGAGTTGGAATTTCCAGTATCCACAACAGAGGACAAGATATATTTACAAATCACTTATCACCCCTGAGGCCCAAAGACATTGTAATGGAAATGAGATAAGTTTTATATAACTATACAATCTTTTCATGTGTGAGATAATGAAATATATTTCATACAAAGGGCACATAGAGGAATATTTTATCTTAGGTGTTCCTCTCAGCAACACACAGTGGAAATAAATACAACAGAGATCCCTGTTATGGACGAGGCACTTATAAGGCACAACTATGTTTATAACAAATAAAAGACTGCTGTCCAGCCCTGAGTTTTTATGTACAAAATATATGAGGTGCTATACCTGAAGGTTTTCCAACATTCTTTACGTTCATAAGGTTTCCTGCCAGTGTGTCTGATTGGCTTTACAAGATTTTAAGGACAAATGAAGGCTTTCCCACAGTCCTTGTATTCAGAGTTTCTCCGCAGTGTGAGTCCTCACGTGGGCTCGCAGGTTTGTGGGGTACCTGAAGGCTTTCCCACACTGCTGACATTCATAGGGTCTCTCCCCAGTGTGAGTCCTCACGTGGGCTCGCAGGTTTGCAGGATACCTAAAGGCTTTCCCACACTGCTGACATTCATACGGTCTCTCCCCAGTGTGAGTCCTCACATGGACCCGCAGGTTTGCCCGACACCTGTAGGCTTTCCCGCACTGCTGACATTCATAGGGTCTCTCCCCAGTGTGAGTCCTCACGTGTGCCCGCAGGTTTACTGGATACCAGAAGGCTTTCCCACACTCCTTGCATTCGTAGGGTTTCACCCCGTTGTGCTTTCTCACGTGGACTTGAAGGGAGGAGTGACAGCTGAAGGCTTTCCCACAGTGCGGACATTCATAGGGTCTCTCCTCAGTGTGTGTCTTCACGTGTGCTCGCAGGTTGGCTGGGTACCAGAAGGCTTTGCCACACTGCTGACATTCATAGGGTTTCTCTTCACTGTGCGTTCGCACGTGTTTCTGTAAGGACGAGGACCACCGGAAGGCTTTCCCGCATTGTGCACACTCGTAACGTTTCTCCAAACTGTGCGCCCTCACGTGTCCTTGAAGGGAGGAGTGACGAGTGAAGGCTTTCCCACACTGCTGACACTCAAAGGGCCTCTCCCCAGTGTGCGTCCTCACGTGTTCCTGCAGTGATGTCGAGCTGCTGTATGCTTTTCCGCACTCCTTACACTCGTAGGGCTTCACTCCACTGTGCATCCTCACATGTCTCTGGAAGTATCGAGGATGTCTGAAAGCCTTCCCACACTGCTGACATTCGTAGGGTCTCTCTTCGCTGTGTGTTCTGACATGTTCTCGAAGAGATAAGGAACAACTGTAGGCTTTCCCACATAACGTACATTCATAGGGTTTCAGTCCACTGTGCGTTCTCACGTGTCTTCTGAAGTATTTGGGACAACTGAAGGCTTTCCCACATTGCTGACACAGGTACGGTCTCTCTCCAGTGTGTGTCATCATGTGTCCTTGCAAGGACGCAGGATACTTGAATGTCTTCCCACACTGCTTACATTCATAGGGTTTCTCACCACTGTGTGTTCTCACATGTTCTCGGAAATACGAGAGGCAGCTGTAGGCTTTCCCACACTCCACACATTCATAGGGTCTCTCCCCAGTGTGAGTTCTCACGTGACGTGTAAGGTAGGACTGATACATAAAAGCTTTCCCACACACATCACACGCATGGACTCTCTGTCCACAGTGACCCTTTACATGACCCTGAAAGGATGAGGTGCAAGTGAACGCTTTTCCACACTTCTTGCACTCTAAAGACTTTTTACTACCGAGACTCTTCAAGTCTCTTTTTGATCTCCCAGTGTCCTGATGTTCATAGGGTTTCTCTACAAGGTCTGTGTCCACGTGAGTGCTGAGCCTCGAGACACAGCTACAGGCCGGCCCACATTCTTCACAGGGACTAGGTTTGTGTCCAGGCTGAGATCTTTGTGGATTCTCAGGGAAAGAACCATCTATGAAGGCTTCTCTACACTTAGCACATTCACAGGATTTGTCTCCAGTAGGACAATCCTCATGCACACTAAGACTTGTAATCTGGTTTATGGTATCTCCACATTGATTATCTTCATTGCTTTCACAGACACGCTCCACCAAATGATTTCTGTTCAAAATAGGAAGGCACACTGTTAGGGAATAATGATTATAACCAAACTCTTTATTAATGATCTACCGATGCTAAGTAATGATTATCTGACTACAAAATGACCATTTCCAAGGAATGGGCATGTTTGGGGCACCGTCTACACTGCTATAACGTAGAAGAAGCTAAATGCTCAAAACAAGGGCCCAGTAATAGCCATAACTGTCAGCGTTTCTTACACGTGGGTTTTCCTGATAAATGTTTTGAACTGAATTATATTTCTGATGATCAGTACTACACCACATCTATGAAGATATTGTGTTGTGTAATTCCAACTACACAACTGTTTTTTGTTTTTGTTTTAAAGATTTTATTTATTTATTTGACAGAGAGAGAGAGACAGCAAGAGAGGGAACCTGCAGGCAGGGGGAGTGGGAGAGGGAGAAGCAGGCTTCCTGCTGAGCAGGGAGCCCGATACGGGGCTCGATCCCAGGACCCTGGGATCATGACCTGAGCTGAAGGCAGACGCTCAACGACTGAGCCACCCAGGCGCCCCCCAACTACACAATTGTTCAGCTAGGTTTATACCTTTATACCTTCTTCAATTTCAAGTTATTCTAACATTTGCCAAGATCCCCATTTCTCCTATGGGAGAGAGAGGCACTCACCTCAAACACCTCTCCTGGGATTGGGACCGATCTCCAATGTGATGAAACACCCAGTTTTCTCCAAAAAGAGCCCAGGAATCGTTTCTTATAAATCTTACTATTTTGTCTTCACTGGATAGTTCACTCTCCAAAATATTCAGCTGAGTCCCTGATCCACAAGGCTTAACTTGAATGCAACAATCTGCAAGAATTGGGAGCAATTTAATTTTGGGGGAATGATCTGATGTTTAAAGGTAAGAAAATTAAGAAAATTAAGACCATATGTGGATTTCTACTCATATACTGATCCCAAATGTATATTAAGTTCATCAGGAAGAATGAACATGTGACCAGAAAAATTCTAAGGACCCTAGTGATTTGGGACTTAGGCAGTAAGAGGGAAAGTGTATGAAAAGGCAGCCCGTTTACTCAGAAATACTTCAAAATCGATGGAGACTAATGTGGAGATAGTATTATCAGAAAAGCAAACTAGGAAGGAAATGGGCAAGATACAAACATCCACACACTACCTCATAAAGGAATACAGAAAAGCTTCCCACATGAGTGTGGATGGTTGAAAAGTCCGACAGGGAGGCCAGGTAAATGACAAACATCACACTTCTCAAACAAGGACTGAGTCATGTTCCTAATGGACATGTGCAAATGGCATTCCCTTCTCCAGACCCTGGTCCAACCGAGGGTAGCTGGACTGTCCTGAAGGCACCAAGGCCCTCGGTTAAGCCACCTGCCACTGGGGTCAGATGGTATAGGTGTGTGGCTGAACAGCTCAGCAGGAGGGAGGATTTTAAGGGCAACAAGCAATCTGGAAAATGGGCTGTTAATTTGGTCTTCAAGGTCATTGAAGATGACGAAGTGTGAGATTAATTACAGCATGATTACCATGAGAAATGTGTATTAACTGCAGTGCATCTTCCACAGAAATGAAAACCACAAAGCAGCACTCACTGCCCCAGAGCAACACTGGAGAACATCCTCACACTGATAAAATTAGACAGTCTCAGACTTTGATCCAGAGCCATAGTCAACTTATTACATGAAACTTTGTTTTCACCAGCAAAGGTATGTGACCCTAGGTAGTTTCCATGAAGGCTTGGACCATGGCTGTCTCTTCTTCAATATATTCCCATTCCTCCGCCCCAGTAAGATTAAATTCATAAGAAACGTTCATTCCCTAAAACTCTAGTGAAGGGGTGGAGCCGTCCTTACCCAGCGAGGCCAGGTTCCTGCAGGTCTCCAGCATCACATCTCTGTAGAGCCTCCTCTGACCACGATCCAGCAAAGCCCACTCTTCCGGGGTGAAGTACACAGCCACATCCGCGAAGACCACCGCGTCCTGAAACATCCCACGTATCCTATTGCAGCAACGCTCCCTCCTCACCCATGTGCGTGGGAGGATTGGGGAGGGGGGGCGGTGACACGCAGGGAGCGTGAGTCACATCCTAGGACCTGAGTCACATCCGTGTGGGAAGTGACAACACGCGAGCACATCCGCTGCCACGCATTCAGTGATGGGAGGGGCTGGGAACCCGAAGCAGAGGGAGATGACAACGGCTGATACAGACTTACATACACCCAAATATAGGCTATTTTTGCTGACTCAGAGCAGATCTGAGCACTCCAGTACAGTAAAGAATGGAAAATGAAATCCTTATTCAAACAACACAAAATCAGACAACAAACACATCTTTGACTTGATCAAAGATTTATAGCCTTGTCAGCTCCAAGAACTTGAACCAGAATGTCAGGATGTTGTGGACACTTGACTTAAGCAGATCTCTCCTTGGAAGGCAACAAGGTCAAGGAGGCTGGTGCAGTCCCCTCTATCCCCGCAGAGGCAGACACAACCCTTTCCCTGGATCAGGTGGACTGTGAGCATGGACACGGACCAGGGACCTGGCACACCTGGTGCGTAAGAGTTATTTCAGTTCTGGAAGAATCATGGAAGTCATCAGGGCCTCAAATATATACCTCAGAGCCCAGAATTCAAGGAGAAGGGCACCAGGAAGAAGAGCCCCTGAGGGACTGATGGTAACAAACAGCCACTGGTGACTTTAACAGAGAAAGAAAACAAGGCTAATCCATATCTTTAGAGCAACAAGGGATGACACCACACTCATGAAATACAGAGTTCAAAAAATTACTTTTTTCAAAAAATCAGATTTTCTAAACAAAAACTGTGTTCTCAAAACTTAGTGAAAAAAAAAATCCCATATGCCAACCATATCACTTAATAGGAAGGTAAATTCTACTTCAACTGTGGTTATAACTGGGGTCTGCGTATCACACACCTGGTAAGTCCTGTATCTTAAATATGTTTTAAAAATCCATATGACAACCATGAAAAATAAAAGACAACAATATAAAGAAAAATAATATGATCAAATCATGGGGAAAGAATATGAGCAGATACTTTTCTACAGAAGATATGCAAGTGGCCAATAGGTTCAGGAAAAGATGCTAGATGTTAGTTATCAGGAAAATGGACCTCAAACTATAAGCAGATACCCCTTCAGACCCACTAGAATGGCTACAAAGAAACAAGTGCTGGTGAGGATGTGAGGAAGGGGAAACTCTCATGCATTTCTGCTGCTGGGGATGGAAAATGGTGCAGCCATTTGGAGGTGTCTGGTGCATCCTCAAAATGAGTAACGTCGAGTTACCGTGCAATACAGCAATTCCACTCCTAATATTGATCTACCCAAGACAAGTGAAGATGAGCACCAACACCAACACTAATTTCCATATACTCTCAGCAGCTTGATTCATAATAGCCAGCAAGTGAAAACCACCCAAAGGCCCACCAACTCTTTGAAAATGAATAAAGGAGACATGACTCAAATAGAATTAGAAGGCCACAGGGGGAGCTCCCACCAGTACCACTCATTCTCCACTGCACTCAACAGCAAGAGACAACCTTGGACACATTACTGCCCCAGCAGGAGAAAGGAAGGAAAGTTTCCTCCTCCCCTGCAACAGCCCAGCCAATAAGAGACAGTCACAGCCCACCCTATGAGAAGACACTAGGGGTAGAACCCCAAGTTTGCTCCAGTGGATATCGTTTGGAACAGCCCCTCCCAACATCCCCTCTCCACTATAAAAGAGAGGTCCTCCCTTTGTTCTCCAGACCTGCCTGTGCTTTTACGTAACAGAATTGCAAATCTCCAGGCACCTGGTTGGCTCAGTTCATTAAGCATCTGCCTTTGGCTCAGGTCATGATCCCAGAGTCCTGGGACTGAGTCCCGAATTGGGCTCCTTGCTCAGCGGGGAGCCTGCCTCTCCCTCTGCCTCTTTCTCTCTCCTCTCTCTGACGAATAAATAAAATCTAAAAAAAAAAAAAAAGAATTGCAAATCTCTGCTATTACTAAATAAACCCATTTTTGCTAGTAAAATAACTGACAGGTTTACATTTAACCCACTGAGCCACCCAGGCATCCCTGGCAGGTTTACTTTTAAAGTTAACATTACATGATCATCGGTCTTTCCACAACTATTACAAATCAACTCCAAATTGTCTTTAAAGAAAATTCTGGTCTTCCTGTAGATGTGGAATCCACCCAGGTAGCATTTAAGTCTATGTTTATTAAAGAGCAGAACCAGTGTCTTTTTCCTTTAGTTAAAAGGACCAGGATAGAATGTGAAAATATGTCCACTGCAGATATAATCTGGCAAACCATCCACACACATCCTAGATGAGTCACCTAAAATAAAAACCGCTAAAATTATTTTATTTATTTTTTTATTTTTTTAAGTAGGCTCTAAGCCCAAGGTGGGGCTTGAACTCACGACCCTGAGATCGAGAGCTGCACACTCTACTGACTGAGCCAATCAGGTGCCTCAAGACCACTAAAATTCCTAATTCTCAATTCTGGCAAATGGAGGTTCCTAAACAAAACTCAAACCTGACTCTTCTCCTCTTCTTGCAGAGGACCAGGACACTGGAAAAAAGATCACTACCAACTTAAACACGCCCACATCTCTATCCCTGCAGCCAGACTTCCCAAATTCCTCTTCATTCCCAATGATCGAGCTCCAGGGAACCACAGGGGCCCTTCCCAGTCTTCCCTTGTAATCAGCTCAAAGAAACCACTCTCCACACTGGGAATGAATCTCTGTCCTTGTTGACACGTGTCCAACCCCTTGCTGTACAGCAGCCCCCACCTAGGAGGACTACAATATAAATAGTAGGGTTCCCTAACAAACCTCAGTAGGTTCCTGTATCTGAACCCACTGCCTTTTGTCTAGGTCCTTTGAGATATACACCATTTTCTACTTAGTTCCTATGGCTCTATTCATTTAATTGGGTGGATATTTTTTAAACAAGTGTCTTTGTCCTAAAAAGGGGAAATAATTCTAGAATTTGATAACAGTAATCAACACAGCCAATCAAAGAAAATAAATGACCCTTCCAAATCTTTCATCTCTTCCATCTCTGACACACTATAGTGGGGTCTGGGGACACTGATCATTTGTCTTGGTTGGATCACCTACCATCCTCTTCCTGGGCAAAAACCTCAACTAATATTGGTAGAGTCCACAGTGTGACTCCCATCAAGGTTAAAATAGATCTCTCAAAGCATCTCCCCAAAATTAATCAATACCCTATAAATAAAGAAGCTCTTTAAGGCATCAAGCCCATAGTAGAAAATTACAAGCCTCAGAGGCCCATCATCCCATACACTAGTCCCTGTTTTTACGTTGGAGAAAACCCAATGGCTGAAGATGGAGGTTTGTCTAGAACCTCTGAGCAATATATACCATTGTTAACCCTTGGGACCCTGTTCTTCCTAACTCCCATATGCTACTGATTCAGTTCCTACTGTATGCAAATTCCAGGAGGAATACATGACTCCAGGTTTTTACCAATAGAATAAAAAAAACTTTCCCCAAGTCTGAAAATTGCCAATATTCAACTGGCTATTTTCAGACCTAGGGTCCTGGTTTAGAACCGTCATACAATTTGGATTTTCATGTTACCTTTGCTTTCATAGTTATTACCTGTCAAAACATTGTAAAAGTGATGTATCCAGCAAGGAGATAATCTCCAGAGCTTACCATCTTGATAAATAGGGACCAGAGATGAGAAGTGCCTGAGACTGCTTCCTTCTAATATTTCTCGTTACTCAAATATGGCCTTAACTGGTTTCCAACTGCTATGCACTTTCCCTAGGATGTGTGACATCACTACCAGGAAAGGTCTTTCCTGGCACCAAGAAACAAAACCACTAAACATGGAAAACTGACTCATAATCAGTGACGCATTTGAGAAAAGATCTCTATCAAAAGTGGGAAATGTAAAAATTAATATAGGGAAACCTTGCTAAGAATGGACTCAGGAGGGGCGACTGGGTGGCTCATTCAGTTAAGGCTCCGACTCTTGATTTCAACTCAGGCCATGATCTCAGGGTTGTAAGATCAAGACCTGAGTCAGGCTCCACACTTAGCAGGGAGTCTGCCTGAGAATTGTCTCACCCTCTCCCTGTGCCCCTCCCCTGTCCGTGCTCTCCCTCTCTAAAATAAATAAATTTTTAAAAGAAGAAGAATGACGGAGTCAGAAGACCAGCAGTGGAGCTTCCACACGCTACCATGCATGGTCAACTGCAGAAGCAACAGCAAGAGAAGGACCTTGCAGTTGAAGCGGATACGACTTTACTATGACGACACGAGGAAGATTATTTCCCCACATGGCAACAACCCAGCCAATGAGGGACAGTCACAACTCAGCCAATGGGAAGCAACGACACTTCCAAGCCCAGTTTGCTCCAATGGGCTTTCTGTTTATAACAGCCCCTCTTCAAGGCCCAGTTTCCTCTGTGAAAGAGCCTCCTCTCCTCTGCTCTCCATCTTGCCTGTGGTCTCACTGTGGCTGCTTTTCGGAGTTGTAATTCTCAAGCCCATTTTCACTGGCAAATTTAATGACAGTTTTACTTTAACTCATTTCAGTAAGCAAGATGGAGTATATTCATAAAATGGAGTATTATTCGGCAATGAGCAGAACGAAGTACTGATCCAGGACACAGACCAATGGACCTGAGAACAGTCACAGGCTTCACAAAGACCACACATGGCATGATAAAAGAAGCGATCAATAGAATGATAAAAGAAGCAATCAATAGAATGATAAAAGAAGTGATCAATAGAATGATAAAAGCGATCAATAGAATGATAAAAGCGATCAATAGAATGATAAAAGCGATCAATAGAATGATAAAAGAAGCGATCAATAGAATGATAAAAGAAGCAATCAATAGAATGATAAAAGCGATCAATAGAATGATAAAAGAAGCAATCAATAGAATGATAAAAGAAGCGATCAATAGAATGATAAAAGCGATCAATAGAATGATAAAAGAAGCGATCAATAGAATGATAAAAGAAGCAATCAATAGAATGATAAAAGTGATCAATAGAATGATAAAAGCGATCAATAGAATGATAAAAGCGATCAATAGAATGATAAAAGAAGCGATCAATAGAATGATAAAAGAAGCGATCAATAGAGAGAACGATTAATAAGTCGTCTAGAAGCCAGGGCTGGGAAGCACTAGAATGTGGAGTGACTACCAGTAGGACACAAATTTTCTTTATGGAATTACTAAAATACTTTAAAATGAGAATGTGAAGATGGTTGAGTAATTCCGTCAATACAATAAATGCCATCAAACTTTATATTTTAAACAGATAAAATTCACGGTATGTGATCCACACCTCAGTTAGAGCTATTTAAAAAAATAGTTATAGAGGGGCGCCTAGGTGGCTCAGTGGGTTAAGTGTCGAACTCTTGATCTGGCTCAGTCTTGATCTCAGGGCCATGGGATCAAGCCCCACATCTGACTCCGTGATCAGCAGAGTCTGCTTGAGATTCCGCCCTCTCCTGCCTCCCCTCCCCCTACTCACATATGCTCTCTCTCTAAAAAAAAAAAAGTCATAAAAGCTAAAAATATATCCCCCTTAATCTTTTGGCAACTTTACTCAAAAACAATAGATTTTAGGCAAATAAGAAGTATGAAAAAGAAACTATGAAAAAGAAACAAAATTACAATTTCAGAGATTAAGCAGATTGAGAGATATTATAAACTAGCTGTGGGAAAAGGTTTTTTTAGATTTTTTTTTATTTATTTGAGAGAGAGAGAGAGAGTACAAGTGGGGGAGGAGCAGAGAGAGAGAGAGAAGCAGACCCCACGCTGAGTGCAGAGCCCAATCCCACAACCCTGAGATCACAACCTGAACTAAACCAAGAGTCATATGCTCAACCAACTGAGCCACGCAGGCGCCCCGATTTTTTTTTTTTAAGTAGGCACCATGCCCAGCATGGTGACCGACATGGGGCTGGAACTCATGACCCTGAGAGCAAGACCTGAGCTGAGATCTAAAACACACTTAACCAAATGAGCCACCCAGGTGCCCCACCGGAAAAGATGTTTTAGAATAGAGGGAAAGGAATAAATGTATACAAATTGGTAACATACCTGAGATGATGCAAGGTAACAGAACATCTAAGGACGTCCTTGTCATTAAGGAAAGGAAATCAGTAGATTCATATATCCCCACACTCTAAAGGCATCTCAAATGGTGCGTAGGCCAGGTACCAAGCATTTAAACATCGGTGGTTCCCAATTGTAAAGAGGGATCACAGAGTATTACCAAGATGGGAAAAGGACAATTCAAACAATATTAAAAGGCAATATTCATAAATACAAAGGCAAAAGTCTGTTTAGAAGGAAATCTTGTATAGGTAACATTAGAAGACAAAACCAAGTCTGTTTTATTCTAGAAATGGACTGGATATTGACTCTTCAATGAGTATAATTTGCCCCACTAATGGAAACAGGACACATGAACTACAGGCTTCCAATCCATTCGTGCGGAGGACATGCCTGTCTCATGTCACGGCACATTAATGACGACTGACTTAGAGACCAGATGGAAACATGCACCACCAGGAAAAAAATGTGTCTGAACGAAACCAAGAGCCAACTCCCCATGTGACCGGTCTCCTCCGAGATCAGGAACCAGAAGCTAAGGAGGCATATATACAATTCTACACCTGTGAAGGCCTGGCCAGTGCGGCAACAGAAAACAAGGAATTGGTGAAAGATTTACAAAGGGAAAGGTAAACTTCATTATCAGCAGCTGATCAGATTTAGTGTCTAGAAATCCCAGAATCCTAAGACAAAATTATAAAAATGTATAGGCGAGCCTAGCCCACAACCTAAGTGTTGTTTGCATCTGGGAGGGACAGTTACTGGAGAAGCACCCGTCCCATGGATCCTGCGACATTCCGAAGTGGGATCGTCAGAGCCCATCAGGTCAGAAACAAGATGAGAACAACTTTCAAAACTGCAGAATCGTACGCCAGCAGATAAAAGGGACCAGCACAGAGCGCGTCCTGAGAACGGGCCGTGTTGATGGGGTGCAGCCTCATAAGGCAACACTTACACTCTTCCTTCTTCCGTGCTGCGGACACCTGTTCCTCCCGCTCTATCTCCTCCGTGTGTGCCTCCTCCACCTCCCCAGAGAACGCTTTCCTTCTGTCACCTCTGTCACCAGACCCACAGAGTTCCGTGCGACACCAGCTGAGGGTTGTACACGGAAACTCACCCTGAGGCTACTGACCCGGAGGCAGGGTCGGATCCCACAGGTAAGCGCTCAGCCCCACGAGACTGCCCCCACCCAAACACACACACACCGACCAGCAGATCAGGTTCCCACACTTTCTCCTGGGGTTCCAGTGATTTGCTGGGAGGGCTCACAGAACTCGGGGAAACACTTACTTATGTTTTCCAGTGTAGGAAAGGATGGATAAAGGATACAGATGAGCAGCCAGACCGAGAGAGGCATAGAGGGAGGTATAGGGCAGGGGTGTGGAGTGTCCATACTTTCTCTGGGTGCCCCACCCTCCCTGCACCCCGCATTGTGTTCATAAACCCCCTTCTCTTAGGATTTTTATGGAGGCTTCACCCCGTTGGCATGATGGACCATTAGCTCCACTTTCAGCCCATCCCCTTCTTAAGAGAACGGGGGCAGGACAGAAGTTCCAGCTTCTAATCACCGCAGGTCTTTCCGGTGAACGGCCCCCACCAGGAGCCATCCAGGAGCCCACCCAGATGCAACAAAAGATGCTCCTATCCCCCAGCAAGTGACAAGGGCTTCGGGAGCCCTGTATCAGGAACCGGGGGCAGAGACTGGTATGTACTTCTAGTCTCACCAGCCCATACACACAACTGGTGCTAAAGGCGAGGAATGTCATCAGACCTGGAGATGAGGAAAGAGAGACCATGAGTAAACCAGGCTCAACATCTCTCGGGATCCTTCCCTGGTCTGGAGGGGGCTTCCTGTCAAACACAGTGTAGGTCATTTCTCAGGCAAGAAACATTGAGAGCTCACGGTTCATGAAGAGATGCGATTGTATTAGATTATTTTCACAAACCTGCCTTAATAAAAGGTGAATGTGTCACTCTACTGCATTTTTTGCGAAGCCTGTTGAGCTCTGAAAATGGACAAATATGGGGAATAATACACAACCAGTGTTAACTTATAAGATCTTATTTTAGTGGATGTGGTAAGTTTTCAAAGATAGATCAAGTCCCTTCCAATCACTCGTCTCAATGGAGCAAAATACTAAGTGAACAACCATTCTACTACGTTTTCCAAGTTTCCAATTAATGGAGTTCTCGTGTTACATAAAGCCTTCATCTTGTCTTCCTCTTGATCCCTGAAGCACAAACTGCTTCAGAGAAGGTGAACCAGCAGTTGGAGCTTTGTATATAATCCTCCTTGTAGCTCCTTTTTAGTCTTCAACGGTGAACTGCTTCTCTGTACTGAACAGGTACGGGTCTATACTTGTCTCTTGTTTGGGTCAAGGTGCACATGCTCATGAGAGCTTTCACAGTATGTGGAACCGGAGAATATACCAACCAGTCTGCCGAACACATTTGAGAATGCTGGTTCCTGTTTAACACATGTCCCTGCTGCATATAGCAGGATGGGAGCAACAGACGCCTTCACACGTCACTGCACTGTTAGAGACAATGAGTTTAATAACTCCCTCTTTATCTTCTCCTCTGTGTTTTTAGTTGTTAGATAAGTTAGCTTTTTTTTTTTTTTTTTTTTTTTTTAAGATTTTATTTATTGACAGAGAGAGACACAGCGAGAGAGGGAACACAAGCAGGGGGAGTGGGAGAGGGAGAAATAGGCTCCCGGCTGAGCAGGGAGCCCAATGCAGGGCTCGATCCCGGGACCCTGGGATCATGACCTGAGATGAAGGCAGACACTTAATGACTGAGCCACCCAGGCGCCCCCAAGTTAGCTTTTTCTAAATGGATTAACATGAAACCACATTTCAAGTCTTATTTCTTTTTCTTTTTTTTTTTTCCCCAGGGAAAAGTGCGAACACAGTCCCCCACTTTTCAGGGTCTTTTCAAGCATCCAAATGTACTTCTCACCCTGAGCAACTAACTGGTAATGATAGACACAGACATCTCTCTACTGCTGAAATGTAGTACATGCTTGATTTTTTACAATCACTTGTAAAGAAAACTAATGATGTCGTTTTAGCTAGAAAATATTCTAACTGAAAAACATTTTTCCTTTACTCATAAGTCAAATGATTATGTAGATCGCACCCAAAAAGAATAGAAAGATAATCACTGACTCAGATTTTTAGTAAGTTTCCAGAATGCAAACTCCTAAATCTCAGGGTACACTTAATCACTAGAAACAAGAGTTGAAAATTAAATATTAAAAAGAGACTTTTTAAAAAAAGATTTTAGGGGCACCTGGGTGGCTCAGACGGTTAAGCATCTGCCTTCGGCTCAGGTCATGATCTCAGGGTCCTGGGATCAAGCCCCGCATCGGGCTCCCTGTTCCAGCAGGGAGTCTGCTTCTCCCTCTCTCTCTGCTGTTCCCCCTGCTTGTGCTCTCTCTGTCAAAAATAAATAAAATCTTTTAAAAAATAAAAAATAAAAAATAAATAAAAAAAGATTTTATTTAAGAGAGAGGGAAGAGCATGAGTGGGTGGGAGGGGCAGAGGGAGCGGTAAAAGCAGATTCCCCACTGAGCAGGGAACCTGAGGCAGGGTTCGATCCCAGACCCTGAGCTGAAGGCAGACGCTTAACTGACTGAGCTCTCCAGGCGCCCCTAAAAAGAGACTTTTTAACATTAACCTTTATAACTGCTATTAAACTAATTGTCCTTATGTCCAAAAATATGTCTAATGGAGGATATAAGCTGATTTAATGGAAAACCTACAGAACATTATTCAATGACACATAGTGTAAGGAAATAAATGGAGAGATGCCACATATCTGCCAAAATGAGACGGTAAGGCCAATTCTCCCAAAAGGTCAAGAGTCTTAAGAAAATTTCATTAAATCTACACAACCAGGTTTGTCTGGGATTTTTGTTCATCCTGTTCCATTTGAACTTAAGAGACACTACTTTTTTTGTATTTATTTTTATTTTTATTTAAGGTTTTATTTATTTACTTAAGCGTGAGAGCACGACCCAGGTTGGGAAGGCATAGAGGGAGAGGGACGAGCAGACTCCCTGCTGAACACAGAGCCCGATGCAGGACTTGGTCCCAGGACCCTGAGATCATGACACTTAACCCACTCAGCCACCCAGCGCCCCCTCTTTTTTTCATTTTTCTTACACATTTTATTTTAAGTAATCTCTGTGCCCAACGCAGCTCCAACTTAGAGCCCCAAGACCAAAGTCACATGCCCTACCGACTGAGCCAGCCAAGCACTACTTCCTACACTGAAATGTAAGGAACATTTCTAAGAACGGTGGAGACATGTCACAGAACACACTGGTGGGATTTTACCTAACAGACATCAGAGCTTTTTAAAGTATGTCAGTATGAAAATACAAGAAAACCTCATTTAAAATAGAGTAGAGAGGCGGGCAGGGGAAGCGCTCAATCCCTGAAGTTCAAGAGCAGCACCTTGCAAGTCTACACTTTAGGTACATTACTGCCCCAGGAGAAGGATGCAGGAAGGTTTCCTCCTGACCCGGCAACAGCCTGACCAATGACATGGTCACAGCTCAGCCAATGAGAGATGGTCACAGGCCAGCCAATGAGAGACAGTCACAGCTCAGCCAATGACATGATCACAGCTCAGCCAATGAGAGACAGTCACAGCTCAGCCAATGACATGGTCACAGCTCAGCCAATGAGAGATGGTCACAGGCAAGCCAATGAGAGACAGTCACAGCTCAGCCAATGACATGGTCACAGCTCAGCCAATGAGAGACAGTCACAGCTCAGCCAATGAGAGACGGTCACAGGCCAGCCAACGAGAAACAGTCACAGCTCAGCCAATGACACAGTCACAGGCCAGCCAATGAGACAGTCACAGCTCAGCCAATGACATGGTCACAGCTCAGCCTATGAGACAGTCACAGCTCAGCCAATGACATGGTCACAGCTCAGCCAATGAGAGACGGTCACAGGCCAGCCTATGAGAAACAGTCACAGCTCAGCCAATGACACAGTCACAGGCCAGCCAATGAGAGACAGTCACAGCTCAGCCAATGACACGGTCACAGCTCAGCCAATGAGATGGTCACAGCCCAGCCAGTGAGAAACCAAGACACAGTGAACCCCCAGTTTGCTCCAATGGACATTTTCTTTGGAACAGCCCCTCCCCAACCCTCCTCTCCTCTATAAAAGAGCTTCCCTCCCCAGACTTGCCTGTGGTTTGGTCCCATATTACAATTCTTGCTATTCCCAGATGAACCCATTTTTCCAGGAAAAATAACTGACGGTTTTTATTTTTAACATCAATGTTACTTGGTGACCATGCATGGACCCAGAGAAGACCCCACCTCTCCAAGCTGCTGAGCAAACAGGTGCGGGTCCCACAGAGCCCACTGCGCTCACTGCTTTCTCCCCCACCCTGAGCTGGAGGGCAAGTTTTGTCCTGGGATCAGAGCCCTGCTCCCCGTCTGAGCTCTGCAGGGTCTACAGGGACCTGGGTTAGGGGCTTGTTCTTTCTGAGATGACTCACTGGCTTTTGTTCCCCTCCTTTTCAGAACTGGACTGTTCCTCTCGGATCTGTGCCTGCTGGAAATGCGCTGGCCTTGGTCTGATTTCTTCTGTAAGGACCAGTAATTAGAAATTTTTATTCTCGTCTAGACAAAACCACTAAGAATGGATTCCAGTCATCAAAGTGCCATGAGGGGCGCCCACCGGGGACCCTGGCCAGTTTTAGGTTTCAAAACCATGGTTGTGGTGCACCTGGGCAGCTCAGTTTAAGCAGCCAAATCTTGATTTTGGCTCAGGCCATGAGATCAAGGCCCAGGTAAGGCTCCGCGCTGGGCATGGGGTCTCCCTAAGACTCTTCCTCTCCCTCTGCCCCTCCCCTCCCCGACCGTGGCCTGCTAGCAAGCTTTCTCTTAAAAACAAAAAACACAGTCTCTCCTAAAATGCATTGCTAATAATTTAACCAAATGAACTAAATGTAATTTAAAACTACAATGGCCTTTATGGGGAACTTCCGATCTCGATCTCCACAAACTTGTTTTATTGATAACTGAATTAGGAAGTCATAATTCTAAAACACTGAATACGATACATATTTTAATCGGTAGCTCAAGACTTGCAAATATTTTCAGGAAGCTAAGTGTGCCTCCTTACAAAAGACTATTTGAAATTAACTGAGGCAAACAACTGAAAGAAGACAAACGGCTTCTGAAGCATGTTTTTCTTCTGCCCAGCTTCACGGTCAGGTCTGCAGACTCCACGGGAGCTGCCCTGCCTGGGGCCCTGCCTCCAACCACCTCCCTCCACACTCTCTGCTGACCTTCCCTTTTCTTCTGACCCTGCCCTTGCTCCCTCCTTACCTCAGCCTATTAAAGCCCAGCCTCCTTAAAGATAAGGCTTCTCAAGATCTAAACCCCCAAATGTCTCATGTTCCCTGGACCGAGGCAGAAGCGTCCTGAGCGACTGAGGACCCCCATAATCTTGCTGAAGAACGTAACACAGCGTTTCAACCTACCAACCTGGTTTCCCAGATTTATACAAATTATTCCACAGGCGTGTTGCTGAGGGCCAGGCCACACGTGGGGTGACACGGACCCAGGAGAGAGGAACAGACGCCTCACTTCTGGAAAGACACTACAGCACTCGCTGGAAATCCCCATGGAGCAATTACAGAAGCTTTTCCTAACACTCCGGATTGACAACATCCAGTCCTCCACACGGAAGCCTGGTGAACCTGCGCGTGGCGATCACAAGGGGCTCCAGCTTGTCTCCGATGCAACTTGGGGTCTGTCTTCACATGCGGAGTCTACCCAGGCAGCAGCTGACGGGCTGAGCCGGGATCGTTCTTTTTACTTAAAAGCACCAGGATGGAACGGGAAACCACGTCCACCGTGCATGTAGTTACTCTAGGAAACTAGCTCACTCACACCCCACAAGAAAGAAAGTCAGCTGAAATTCTTAATTTTCACCTCTGGCAACTGAAGGCCCCTAACAAACCAAATGCCTACTGGTTTGCCCTATTCCTGCAAAGAGCCACAACGGCTGAGCCAAGACTTACCTGCAGCCCTCCTGCCGGCCATTCCCACTCCCTCCTCCTTCCCAGCGGCTGCGCTCCACGGACCACAGCGGCTCTTTCCCAAATTCCCTCTTGATGGGCTCGGAGAAAACTCTCTCCACATGGGGAAGGGCTCTCTCTGTCCTTGTGGACCCTGGAGCTACACTCTTGGTGTCAAGCAGCCCCCGCCTCAGGGAGCTCACATCGCTCCCATAGTGGGGGGGGGGGTCTCTCATGAACCTCAACAGGTCCCCGCCTCTGACCCCGTTCCCCTGGGTCTGGACCCTGGGACACAGACACATTTTCACGTGGACTCCTGTACCTCTGCTCACTTACTGCTCTCATTCCTCAGAAAGGATCATGCAGGACTTCCTTCTCCCACAAAGGGAAAGTAATTCTAGAACTGGATGAAGGGACTCAACCTAATCGGGAATAAAATGCCCCTTCAACATGGTTTTTTATCCCTTGGCACCCTGCTGTTCCCAGCTCCCACACACTCCTGACATCCATTTGCACTGAAAGCAAACTTTCAACGTGATGAAACTCCACAGTGCAGGACGCCTGGGTGGCTCAGTTGGTTAAGTGACTGCCTTTGGCTCAGGTCATGATCCTGGAGTCCCGGGATCAAGTCCCGCATCGGGCTCCCTGCTCGGCGGAGAGGCTGCTTCTCCCTCTGACCCTCCCCCCCTCTCATGTGCTTTCTCTCTCTCTCACTCTCTCTCTCTCAAATAAATAAAATCTTTAAAAAAAAAAAAGAAACTCCACAGTGCATTTCTCGTATTCCAGTTGATGAGGACGGCCAGTATGAAAGGAGCAGAAATACACCTGGGCACTCAGGCCCCGGGCTGCACAGTCGTTCTGGCTTCTCTGGAATCTCCGAAGCCAATCTGGGTGACGGACAGCTTTTGCGGGCTCCACTTTGTTAGGATACGTGGATGATTTCATCCTCCGCCCCCTTCTCAGACCTCTTCACAGGAACACAGAATCCACCTGTTACAGCTTTTTGCCTTCAGAGGCCATCAGGATCGCCATGTAGGGCATCTGATCCGGGAACAGTCACTACATGTGGACCCACATGAAGCCCCCATGACGGCTGAATGCTGACAGCTCACCTTCTTTTTTTCTTCATTTCAATTTTGTTAGTTAACGTACAGTGCGGTATTGGTTTCTGGAGCAGAATGCAGGATTCGTCACTTACATACAACACATCGTGCTCATCCCTGCAAGTGCCGTCCTTAATCCCCATCCAGCCCCTCTCCCACCTCCCCCATCGATCCTCAGTTCCTTCTCTACTGTTAAGAGTCACTTACAGCTTGTTCCTCTCTCCAGCCCTTTTTTCCTCCCCCTTCCCATATGTGCCTCCGTTTTCTTTCTTAAATTCCACGAGTGAGACCATACAGTATTTGTCATGCTCTGACTTATCTCAATTAGCATAATACATTCCAGCACCATCGATGTCCTTGCAAATGACACGATCTCATTCTTTCTGATGGCCGAGTGACATTCCGTTGTGTGGGGACACGCCACTTGTCCCTCCGCTCATCAGTCAAGACACTAGAGCTGTCCCCTCCTGTGGCTGTTGTAGATGCTGCTGCTGTTAAGCACAGGGGTGCACGTGCCCCTTCAATCGTAGTTTTGTACCCTTTGGGTAAATACCCAGAGGTACAGTTGCTGGGTCCCCACCCCCACAGAATAGGGTAGTTCTAGTTTCCACTTTTGGGGGAAGCCCAGGCCGTTCCCCAGATCAGCGGCGCCGAAGCCTTCTCTGCAGACAGGCCGCTGCTTGTCCTGTGGCTGCAGTTCTCTGAGGAAACACTGTCCCCCCCGGGGAACGGCTCTCACACGTCAGAGGGATCGGGGCGCCCATGTTACCAGCCAGGGGCTTCACCAGCTCCGCTGTGTGTGGTCGGGTTTACGCGCTCGCCGTGCGCACCACGCAGTCTGCGGGCTTCGGGGCACACACTCCAGTCACTACTGATACTCAACGGACAGACTGTGGAGCGATCCCGCCCAAACACCGCGTCCAGAAGCCCTGCGGTCGGTCCTCCTAAACCTCACAGCCTCCCCCGGAGCTCCTACACTCCCACCACGGAGCTCCCCCAGGACGTCCGAGGCACTGGCCCCGGCCGCCTTTGACCTTCGGCTGCCAAAACGAGATGGACTTCAATCCTGGGAAAGACTGGGGGCTTCTCTGCAAAACCACCATGCTTTGGGAGAGCAATGCTCACGGCGCCCGCCCAGGGGAGGAAGACGTCAGCAGGACCCCAGCCACCTGGAGAGGTCGTCCCCAAAGAGTCACCTCCAGGTTCTCTCCAACCTCGCTGGAAGGCCCCTGTCAGGATCTGCCCCCCGACCCTTATGTGGCCACACTCCAGGGAAGGGGCTCCTGGCTGCAGGGGACACATCTAGACTCACAGCCCACCCTGCCTGGCCCTGCACACCGTGTGCGGACGGGACAGTAAAGATTTCCCGGAACGGCGGCCGACGACATCTGAGCCCCAGGCTCCCCGAGACGTCCGGCCCTGGCCTGGGTTCCCGAGCCTCACGGTCGCGTCTCCTCTCCTTCACGGAGACACAGGGCCCTTGTCTGCATGCACAGCATCCTCGCGGGAGGGGGACCTCTTCTTGGGGTTCTGGCCTTTCAGGAACAGGCCCGTGAGGATCCCGTGACAAATTCATCGTTCTCCTGCCTTTTCTCAAGTGTCAGAGGCTCTGAAATCACAAGTCTTTCCCTCACCTGAACGATTAACCCAAATTCACTGTCTCTCAATACACAACCTTACAGGCTGTCTTACTGGATAACATTTGGTTCCAACAGTTCTGTTGAAAAGAGCATCTTTCAAAACATCTTTGAAGTTCTGCTATTTTTGCAAAAACTTCACCCGCTGAGCCCGTGTTCTGACCCGCACTGTCTCTTCCCAAATGCCCCGGCCTGTTCTCTCCCGGAGGTCCCGCAGGATCCACGATGCTGTTCTCACGCTCGCCTGCAGCAGGGACCTCCAGGAGGCACACAGGGCCGCAGTTTGCCTCCACGGCGAGAACGTTCCTCCCCAGGTTGGAACAGGGGCCAATAAACACTTCAGTGGGCTGCCTGCACACCTAGGGTCCTGGATTCTATCCATTTTGTCATTTGGAATTGTCTCGTTACTTCTGATTGTATGTTAAAGTTTTGTAATTTATTGCCTATGAATTTGAGAAAACGATGCACATAATAAGTACACCCTCTGCAATCTCACACTCCTGATGAACACGGACTGGACGGCAAGCGCCTGAGAGTTTCTCCCTCCCGTCCTTCCTTGCTACTCAGGTGTGGCCTTCGCTGGTTTCCACTGCTATGCACGTTCCCTCCCACACAACACACAACAACCAGACATCCTTCCTGGCGCTGAGGGACAAACCCACTAAGTATGGCAAACCCGCCGCTTACTCAGAGATGCTTCCAAGGAAAGGTTTTGGTCAAATGGAGGAAATGTAGAAATGCACACAAGGAAAGCTCATCTGGGATGGAGTGGGGGGCCAGCAGGGCCGCCCTCGGGTCCTTACCGGGGGGGTGCCCAGCAGGAAGCCCAGCACCCTGCAAGTCTACACTACTTTCCCTGGGATTTCACCACCCCAGCAGGAGGCAGCCAGCCTCCCCCTCCCACCACCACCCAGCCAGGGAGGAGCCCCTGGGCTTCCAACTCCCAATTTCCACCAAGACCTCTGTGTTTCCATAGCCACCCCAGCCCCTGCTCTCCTCTGTAAGAGAGCCTTCCTCCCCTCTGGTCTCCAGATTGCCTGTGGTTTTGTGACCTTACACGTCCAGAATTGCAATTCTCTGCTATTCCAGAATAAACTCAGTTCTGTGGCAAAATAACTGACCATTTTAATTTTAAACTTACTAGTAATCAGAACAGTTGGCATTAACAGAGGGATGGACAAATACCCTGTCAGAAAACCGTGGAATGCAGGCACAGCCCCCTGATTTCGGGAAGGGAAGCAGGTGTCATGGGGCAGGGGCAGCGATGGGGACACTTGGGCGCAGGGCCAGGGAGGACTGCTTATCTACAGGGGAATAAGGAATCATTTCCCTTGTCAAGTTCATGGACCAGAACCGAGTCGTGTGGATTTCAATGTCATGGAAACAAGGAGAACACACAGGAGCAAGATCCAGCAGGCGTGTGTATGACCTGAGTGATGGAAGAGGTTTCTCATGGAACAAAAGTAGGGTGATCTACACAGGAAGGACGGGCAAGTGCAAGTGTATTGCAAATGTGAAGAGTCCAGGCACGCGGACAACGGAGAGGAACGACAACCCCTGGCCTGGGCAAAACACCATCAATACACAGAAATGAAACAGCACGGAGATCCACAGTGCGTGAAGAAAACAGAAGAAATCAGGAAGCAGACAGGCGGGTTACAGGTGACAGGAGGCTGGAAACGCTTCCATAGAAGGCGGAACCCCACAGAGGCCAATGCTCCACCCAGGGGGCAGCAGAGAAACCCATGTGTGACCCCAAGCAGATGCCGAGTCCCGCACCCGAGCTGGACAAAGTGAAGCCAGATAATAGCTCCCAGCGCCGGACGGACAGGCATCAGCCCTGACGGGGGACGCACACACTGCATGTGCAGTTGCTGGTCAGTTTTCACTTCCGC